TTGTTGTATTATTTTATAAGTTTAAGTAAAAAGATCAGCTTAAAAAAAACGCTACCCAAAAGCAGTATTTCACGCGGACGGAAATGTGCGCACAGATAGTGTTAAAAATCAATAAACAATTAGCGCGGTTTAAATCATTTATATCATATTAAAACACAATAAATTTATATTGGCAAATTCTATTAGTTTGCCGATTTAATACCTACAGTTTATAAAAAAAAACTAAAGTTTAATTACACATCAGATTGTTATCAATTATTATTTCAGTTGAAAAAAAGCCTCAGTTTATAAAGTGACTAGGGATATTAAAAACTATTATAACACTATCGGATTCTGATCTACAATAGTTACTCTATAATTATATGCGCGTATTATTTAGTTGTAAAACTTTGTTACCAAAATAGACACAAAGATATTAATTCGAACTCACGTTATAACAATAAAATTTTTACATGTGTCCGAAACATGACTACACATAGAAGAACAACCTATTTATATGTGAATTACCAAAGCACTTCTTTTGTATTCTCCGACGCGAAGCATTTAAACGTAAGAGAACTATTTGCATTGTTAAAGTGACACGAGTCATTTGTTTTCGATTTAATGCCGTAGATATGGTAAGAGATTTCGATGGCATAGTTAAAGCTTTTAGAGTACAATAAATTAAATGACAATATCGTAACGTTTTTAAACGTTAAACTTTGTAAGATTGTATGTATGTTACTAATTTATAAACAGTAATATTATAATCGGTTTGTATAATTTCAAACGATTTGCTTTATCATAATAAGCGCTTAATATTCCTAATATTTTGTGTGTCTATTTGCCCGAGTAGAGCTAGGGCAGATCGCTAGTTTAAAAACTACCAATGAAATACTGTGTACTTTGGCGATATATCTGTATGGTGTATCTGTTCTTGACATTTCTTTAATCTTTGTTTTAAATAAAATCAGAACACGCATGCTACGTACATTATGTTCGTATAACAAACATATATATATATATTTATATTTTGTATGTCATTGTAGCAAATTGTAGTGCATAAGCAAATCTTGTAAACTAGGATGGAAAGGCAATTTTCTCTTCGTTATAAAGTACTTGACCTTATCTCCTTCACGCTACAACATCCGTTGTGCTAATGTTTTATTGCTTTGTCATAAAGCAGCATTTACGGTGGTCATCTGGCTTTAATGTCGTAAGTGCGTACATCGGGAGTGTCGACTCGAGGCCCAGTAGGTCGAGATTCGCTTTGGATCGAAGGTTTCTCGGTCAAACGTCTCTTGGTCATTGTATTCATATTATTGTGTTGGAAGCGTTGATTACGAAAGTCTAAGAATCGCCGATGTCGATATACAGAATGGGATTCAGTACTAGAGCGACGGACAATGAATGTTGTTGCGAAAAGTGGATCAGCCCTTGATTTAAATAGACGTTTCACATATTTATTTTGTACAATGACGATTGTATTTATACTGACTCATACATTAATCGTGTCAAAATCTATGTAATTTTCCGTTCTCGTTATATACTTACATATATCTTCTACTTTTGTCCTTATCTCTTTAAAATCTAATATCGTATTGGTCGTTTTTTTAGACTCTTATCTAAACATTATGCGTTATGATTTGATACTATTGTCACTTAAAATATATTGTGGTGCTTTAAATGTATACTGATTCAAGATGATTTTGAAGTGTCAAGTTTCAGTTTGATTAGCTGAAATACTTTGCGAAATAGAATTTATACGAGTGAAAAGAAAAGCTTAAAAAATTGCGTTTAAATCTGCACAGGTTTTTGTCGCAATGCGGCTCTGCTGTGCCTTTTCCGAATTCAATTGAGCAAAGTTTCGCGCGACCTCGACCTTTCTGCTACGCCAGACAGTCACGGACCTAAACTTTGCGTTATGCTTGTCTCACACTAGGGCAGATCAGTGAGACGGAACTTAGGAGCACTGCATAGTTTGCTACTTTACCTCACTGTTCTGCCCTCTTGTGTAACTAGCCTAACTCAAAACCATTACCGGTGTAAGCTTTTAATAACTGACAACCCTATTAACTGAAATAAATTGCATTGCAATTTTGACTAATGGCATTGCTCCGTGATAGTAAGTTAAAATACATTTAGGATGTATTGTTAAAGATCGACATAAAAAATAATTTGACAAATTATTTTAGATTAATTAATAAAATTAGTTTTCCTTGACAACAATCAATAAAATTGGACACTGTATGTAATATCGAAAAAAATATTCATATTTCGTGAACATAACGAATAATATTACGTAACATCATTACGAAAAACAATTTTTAAAATGTATCTTTTTCTGTCTGTTTGTGTCCAAAGGTGCGCACTTCGCACGAATTCGCGAACTATCGCTAGTTAATTATAATACTCCCTGTTAAACTTTGAAGAGAAAACCCTACAAAGTTTAACTAATTATTCATTCAAAAATAGATGGATACAAATTATTACACTTCAAATTTTGTCAAATGTCCAAATTTATATTGCGCTGCTCTTAAAATAAAACTTAAGTTTAGGACTGAATGTATACGTGTATGAAAGCATTTGAAAAAATGTTGTGAGACATATAAAATGTTTTATATCTTTTCAAGGATCAATACGAAGTTGTTTATATATAAATATTTATATAGTATTTGTTTACTATACCTATAATGTCCTGAACTTAGTTTAATTTTAAGTAAATAAACTGAAAGAATGAAATCAGCTCTAAATAACCAACCACCGGTATTCGAACGTGTTTATTTCAGTAACGCAGCAAGTGTTGAGGCAAGTCGAAAGCTTTACATCTTAATTTTTATAAAGTTTCCTTTTGTAAAAAAGTTTTGTAGAAAAATCTTATATAGTTTTTGATTTGAGATCGGATTAAATTAGTTAAACTAAATAAAATATTTATGTGTTGAAAACATCATTGAATAGCTATTTATTAAATTATCTACTAACATATTTATTGGATTTATTTATATTATATTTTAATATATATAATTAACATTGGTATTGCTAAGAAGAATCATAGAATAGAAGACAGTCAAATATCTAAACCAAATCTATACCAAAACACAAAAATAAATAGAAAACTCTCTACACTTAACTCTGTTTCTCTATTTCATATTAAACTAATTTAATATTTTATAAATTGAATAAAAACAATATTAAAAGATAAACTCAAAATCTACTGAACCGATTTAAAAAAACTTTATCAAAGCGCCCATCAGAAACATTAAATATATAATTATTTATTTACCCATTTAAAGATATATAATAAAGCCAGGAAGTTTGCGAGAAAGTTATATTTTTGCTTTAAAATAGTTTAACTTACCCTGTTCGAACTTAACGTCTAAGTTAACTGACACACACTGAGGAAGGTACGACGAAGGGACTACGTTCGTCTGGCAACAGGAGCGGCTCAGCACTGCGCCACTATCGACCGCACCTCGCAACAAATAGCCCGCACGCGATCTACCAACTCCTTCAGACAAACTGTTCCACTTTCAATAAACTAATACATATCAAAGAAAAACAGGATTAGGTAAGGACTCTGCATAAAGTTAATTTATATCTTGTTATTATTTTGGAAATTAAAAATTATAGCAAATATGCAATTGTTAAAATAAAATCCGATACTTTAACCAATAGGATCTAGATTTCATATAATTTTCACAAATATTTCAGTAAATTTGTGTTTTCAATGTTTATTGTTTAATATGAATATTAAGAAAAGTAATAAAATAAACGTAAAAGCGATTGTCTGTTGGTTACAGTTTTATTTATAGGATAAAGTAACTTTTGTATAAAGTTTACGATACGAATATAAATTGTATATTGCCTGCCTGCCTCATGGTCTGAAGCAAAGTTTTTGAAAATAATTTGTGTTAATACATTTAAATTTATAATTAATATTTCTTCCACGTTAAATGTAATTGCTAGGAAATTTTAAAACGGTAATTTGTTTAAGAGCGATCATAAAATTTCCATAAACCTTTTAATGTTATGAAAAAATTAATCGACTTTAACTTCTGTAATTTATCCGTTTTTCATTTTCTTATAAAGAAATTTTTTGAGTGACATTTGAGAGATGTCATTGCTATGACTACAGTCCACAGAGTATGTACGTTGTATATTATTACTAATGCCAAGGTACAGATGGATGGATATTTGTTAAAACGTATCTCCGGAACGGCTAAACAGATATTGATGAAATTTGTCATGGATATAGAACATTGTATGGAAGAACACATAGGCTACTTATTAACTTTACGTGGACGGAGTTGCGGGCGACAGCTGGTATACAGTAACGTATTTTTTGTACATCTGCGGTTTATTTAGTGCTACTTCCAATCTTGATCAGATTGATATCTGTAATCTATAATGAACAAAAGGCAATTTGCTTGCCATTGCCTAAATTAAAAGGACAGTATAAAGTTATAGACCGATAAGGCTGTCAGAAGTGGTAGGCATAAGTCAAACTAAATTATGATATCACACTATACCTACCTACTTCAACAGTTAGCCCTCAAATTGCTATAGTTTTTAAATATCTACCGAAACACATATCTCAAAGTTTCCGAATAGAATATTATCCTTCAGAAGATTAAGATGACAAAAGGTTTTTATACTTGTTTACCGGCAATGGAAACTCATAGTTACCGAGGTATTGTGTGACTCATCACCTCTTGAAGTGTCAGTCCGCCGTCTGCAGTATGAGACATTCTATAAATAGGGTTTCCCAAAGCACGCGGATTAGATTATTCATCTATCATAAAACGGATTAGGTTAATTGTCTTTATATGTTATAAGGATTTTAGTGAGGTTTTTCAGTCCTTAGGCATTTCAGTGGTGCTGGGCAACCGATGACATCAAATCTTGGAGCACAGTAAATAGTATAATAAAACTACTTTTCATTATTGTATTTTAAACAATGTTTAAATTATGCTCTATAACATTTATTTGCAGAAGAAATAGGACACATTTTATAATAAAAAAAAACAAAAACATCATGTATTATTTAAGCAGGTAAAAGAGTCATTAAAGTTCGAAAAATAAAATAAATATTAACCAAAAAAAAATAACTTTCTTTATGATAAGTTTTATGTCCTTGCAATACCTTTCGAACGCCACGCTTGTTTGCGATTTATTATAGACGTTTCGAATATTGTACCATTATTTAGTTTATCTTTGTCTTCTACAGTTTCTACAGTTTCTCTTGCTTTATCACAAATTTCGTTTAAAACTCGCGGCTTTACTAAAGCTGTTTGTTTTTTTATGTAACTTTTTATATAAAAGTCCATGAAAAGTATAAGTATAAAGATGTTTTGTGGCAAAAATATTGCTGCCGTCCATCTCGGAAACTCGCAGTCCGGCCTGAAGACGATCGTGCTCATATGGATGATAGTCATAAGAAACTGGAGCTGAAAAATAACAATTACTTCATTGAAATGAATACGAATACGAATACTCATCATCAGCTCACTATACGTCCCCATCTAGGGGCTTGGAGCCTATCCTAAGTTAGGGGTGACTAGGCTTTAGTCAAACATGTTGGCCAAGTGCGGGTTGATTGACTTCACACACATCTTTGAATTTCTTCTCAAATATGTGCAGGTTGCATCGCGATGTTTTCCTTCACCGTTAGAACGTCGGATAAGTGTACATATGTAAATCGGAAATGGAAAACACATTGGTACATGGCGGGATTTGAACCCTGGACCTGCAGATTGCAAGTCAAGTGCTTGACCCCTGAGTCACCGACGCTACTACGCTAATACGAATATTACAAATCGATTAAAATGTTGGCAATGATGGTAAATATCTTATTTAGTGCAGAACTGTAGTATTGCAATCGCAGGTGATTCGTGGGTGATACATTTCTCCATAAACAATTGTGGATCTAGTTTTAGGCCATTTAAAATTAACTCCATTGCTCATGTGTACTATTTAAGAAAAGACAAGAAGGGCCATGGTCATCTTGCAGTGGTACTCTGGAATTACAGTCCTGTGGTGCGACACTAGAAAGTGCAATGGGAACGTTCTTCACCTCCTCCTTGGATTACGCGTAACCGCAAAACAGAGTGTTCACCAGTACATCGCTCTCCAAGGTGATCACCGGATGGGTTAAGTACAACTTCACTTACAAAAATCACCATCCGTTTGAAGATTACCACCAACAATGCTTAATTTGCAATTCATAAATGATCAAAAGGTTGAAGTAATCCCTAACTCACGCAAATATGTATAAAAGTCATAAAATTATTTATATCTACAATGTACTTACAATTTGCAGTTGAGTTATATATTTTTTACAGCTGGAAACTTGCTTCACACTGGGGACCGCAACAGTCAAGAAGTAGTAAGTGTACATAATGGCATGTACAAAACAGTTTATAATACCAATCAAAGCTGGATGTCCTCCTGGAATTATGCATTTTCAATATTTAAAGCAATAGCTACAACACTTTAGAATCCGACATTTCGTCCGCAGAAATCTAATAATAATTTCTAGATTATTCATATTTTGTATTCATGAAATAATTTGCTAGCTGGTATTTTTGGAGATATAGTTATTTACCAGGGTAATATGTTGTCGTGCCCCAAATCAATGCGACCATTCCCGCGTGGTGGTACACGTGGAGGAACGTCACTTGATTGACTTTCTTTCTTAAAACAAAAAATATCTGAAAAAAAAAACCACGGGATATAATAATACTATCAGAATATGTTGTTTGAATGACGAGTTTGGAAAAAGCTACAGAAAACCAGTAGATTCCTTCAACAGCAGGGATTTCATCATTGACACTGGCTTAGAGGGGTCAATGTCAAACTGCAGACGCGTTTTGGATGATGACACAGTAGGCCAATGTTCGACAGTACTTAGATGAAGGTGGCGAGGGCATTTTCTTATAAATTAAGTTATTTGAATTAATAAATTAATGTATTTTTTTAATTGTATGTAAGCTTAGACCCTTATTATACTCTTGTCATTGTCTGGTAATTAACAACTAATTAAAATGGATTATTATTTTCGGATACTCACAGTGTCAGTGAGGTCTAAGATTTTAAGTAAATAATAGAAATAGAAAAGACGAGTTATCATCACCGCGTCCTCGTTGTCGGAAAAGTCGACAGGCTGGCACACCCATCTGTAATTCTGGTCCCGCAATACTCTAATTCCCTGGAAATGCATATTTCATTATATATATTATAAATGCGAATGTTAAGATGTTTCCAAAACGGCTCAACGGATCTCGATGAAATTTGGCATCGTTATAGAACACAGTGTAAACAACACATAGGCTTATCATTTTTTTAATTCTCTGCGGAAGGAGTCAGCAAGTATAAGTATAACTAAAATCAATCTATGCTTTGACATTGCATCCTAGCTAAGAATAAAGGTTTTATCGTCTCGGTGAACTCCTCGTACACTCTGCACCACATCGCTTCGCGATTGCCACGATCTAGACTCGCCGTTGCCGATTGATGCCTGTAGAGCGAGGATTTTACGAATGCGCTAAAACCTATAATATTTCAGGCTATCTGTTACAAGAGCAAATATCTGAAAACATTAAAACATTGACATCACAATATAAATATATTAACTTTTTAAATAATACAAAAAAACTTACAACAATGAAAATTAACGCACAAGCTAATACTTGTACAGCATTGTAAATCATGAGGATTTTTTGCAAATTGTAAGGTGGCCTGTTCTTCATCCAATTCGGTCCCCATTTAAATACGAACATGAGGTAGAGAGAGAGCAATACTATCCCTTGATACGGCTTCGCTACCAGAAACAACGATTTTGTTCTGGGATCTGAAACCAGATACCAAAGTTTTATTTTCTATTTAAATTGACTGTCGATGAACAATTTAATTGCTAATAATAGTTACATCAAAAACGAATTAGAACGATTTTAATTGCACTATTCGAAATCATCATCAGGAACATTAAGAAATGAAAAAAATATAAATTAAGTATAATTTGAATAAATTGCAGATTTTTGATGGAACAAACCTGGTAATTCTTCAAACAAATATATATATCCGTGACATATTTTTCTTATTATTTCAGTCATTTCGTCAATTTTTGAATACGTATGGAAAAAATAATTACGAAACCCACATCAGTACTAATTAGATGGATATATTTCTTTTTTAGATCTTTTCTTTTTTTTAAGCACAATGTATACCCGCGTAATGATATTTTGTTACTAAAAGAAATTTAAGTAAATGGCATATGTAAATGCCTGTGGCACGGAAGCGTACTTTAGAATTTTTATAAGGGGCATAATCGTCGCGTTGACGTTCACCCGCGGGAGCGCGCGTAGGCGCGAGCGCGGTTGAGCTATGCTAAGCGTACGCTTTGGCAATCCCGATACCGATGCTCCATGAAGCAACTTTTTCGATGCGTGCCGATGACGTCATACCGAATGCCGAGCAATGGAAACATACGGCGCGCTCGTTCCCTCTTTAAAATTGAATTTAACTCGATACATACGAAAACATAGTAAAATGTTGTTATTATTTAACAGATAAGGATAGTCCATGGTATTCTCCATGTCCCGATCTTTTCGTGAATACGTCGTGTACCTAAATATTATATTTCCTTTTTTAAATTTTATTCTCATCTGCTAATAAGCAAGCAATAACCACTTTCCTCTATTTTCATGAAACCACGTACGATCTCTAAAAAGTCCAAACGAATTCGGCATCGGCATCGTCAATTCGATCGCTGATGATGCTGCGGACGCCACAACAAAAATTAATCCGTTCTCCGATATCCTTCATTATCTCCGATAATGACCTGTAGACAGTACTTTTAGCACTTGTTGCATTTACGCGTGAGCGCGGGCACGGGCAAGGGCGCAAATCTGTGTTCACATTAGCCGTTCAAACGGTTTAACTTACATGAAATCGCAAGTAAATTGCGTGCTCTGCCGATATTTCAATGTGAACACTCTCATATAACTGGTGTATAACTGTATAATTGCTGACTTCAATATCAACATGCAATAAGTGACATTCGCACGCGGCGCGCCCGCGACAATATCAAACATATGTGCTCATAATTTTTGCAGTGGTCGAAGTCCAAAGTTTGAAAAATGTGTTTATTACTTATTTCACATCACGTTATGTTATGCATTCAATGTAATTTTTAGGATATCGTGAAAAATGAACCTAAAGCGGCCGCGCTCGCCACCTCGCCCGCGCCCTCGCCCTCGCCCGCGCCCGCGCCCGCACCCGCTTCTTTAACCAGGACGAACTTTAACTAAACGATAAGGAAACAACACCACGTATAACATTTTTTTCATTCATGAATTTTAATTTTGAATATATTTTACAATGAAATTCCACTGTCCCGACTTATGTATCGAGACATTTGTTGTCTATGTTTTCTCCATGAGAAAGAAAGAGAAAAAAAATCACAATGTGACTTTATGTAATTGTTATGACAGTAGAAATGTATAACACACACACACACACACACAGGTTGATCGTTATTTTTTGACATATAAATTATTTATGATGCATATTTTCATTTGATTACAAATAATCTAAATGTAAATTAGGATTTCTTTTTAATGTTAGTAGCAATTTACAGGTCGCCAGTTACCAGTTGTCTTTAGCAATATGAAATATATGAAAATAATCAGGGTGATTATATATTACCCCGAGGTCTTATTGTCTTAGTATTCCCCCTGTGTAACCTTGCCGACTACAATTAGTATCCCTATGGACTCGGAGTTATGATATGTACTAACGTTAGTGGTTTTAAAATTAATCACTTCCTGTATTCAATACTATGGGTCTGTGTTTGTCCCGATGTCACAAAGACATTTTAAAAATAAAATATAAATAATAAAACATAATAATGTAGTCGTTTACACTGTAGTAGTTCAAAAGTCACCCCTTACTTAGGGTAGGCCCTCGGTGGGGACGTATAGTGACTTGATGATGAATTTACCGTATACAAACACAAATCGTATTTATACAATCATTAAAACAAAATATTTTTTTTATATTAAACTAGAAATTAACTTTTTCTTTATATTATTATTTATACTGTTAAAGAAAAAGGAATTTCTATTACAAAATATATATTTGCACAAACTCTTATCACGTGTCCCGATTTTTGTCATTAAATCTTGCACATTGAATTTGTTAAAAATAAAGTCATTAAAGTAAAAATAAATTTGATATTCATATTTGAATTAGTTGTATTTTTATTTGTAATATTTATAATAATATTAAAATTACGAAAAAAAGCCAGAGATAATCTTACAAAATCATTGCAACCATTTTTAAATCTAGGGCAAACAACTATATATTTTTACTTAATACGTATGTAACTGTGGTAGTAGAAATTACCAAACATATATACAAAAGCTATAGCGTTTATAACAGACATTAGATTAAACCATTTGGGGTAGTTGCAGTCAGTGAGCAGGGGGTACACGTTGTGTATTGCGATTATCACGAACTGAATCTGGAAACAAAACGTAACAACATTTGAATGCACACCGAGTGTCATTTGAAATGCTGAAAACGATTACATAAAATATTTTATCTTCTACACTCGAGAATGCAATATGATTTCATGTGAATGTTTTCTCAAGGCTATAAAACAAGATTTGGCTATGTGAAGAAATATATTTATTAGGAATAATCAGTAAGTCATTTTTAGAGTTAAATTTTTAAGGTATTTAGATGTCTCTGGATACATAATTTAGACGTAAAACGCATAGTAACATAAGCTAAAACATTGAAACTAGTTTAAATATTTTTGTGATAACAAATAATTGCTACTACTGCTACTTTTTCATTGTGTTCGCTTACCAATTGTAGTATTGTCAAATGTCTCTTCCACCAAAGATACTTTCGGTATTGTGGTCCCAGGCCGGAAACTAAATAGTATCCGTACATGATGATGTGAACGAATGAGTTTAAAATGGCCGTCAAAGTAGCTTGACCACCTAAAATTATACTTTGTTAAGATGGCGATGTGTCAATAAGTAGTGAGGAATATTGTCAACGTTCTACTCTTCCTGCGTAGGGTCGTCGCACCATATTTTTGAATAGTGCACAACATTTATCTTAGTAAGTGCTAGAGCTTAGTCTGACATATTTATATACAGAACTGATATGATACGAAAGGCTAAATCTGAAGCTTTGTGAAGGCAATTGGCTAGTTAAGGTTTACCTGCATTAAAATCATACTATTTTTCATCCATTTCGTAATAAGGCCAATATTAGTAGTTAGTCTAAAACAAGATAAACAGTAGAATAGATTCACCTGGTATATATTTTACTCCAATCCAAGTAATGATTGGCATTATCGTGTGATGGTAAATGTGCAACGTCGATATTTGATTATCCTTTTTTCTCAGCACAAAAAATATAGTGTCCAATAACTCCGTCAACTTTGCTATGTAAAACCACCAGGCGGCTGCCGCAACCTACAACGATGAAAATAACAAGTCACTGTCAAGAAATAAATAACATTTTGACAAATATTTCAAATAACTTAAAATTAATTATTATAAAAAGTTTCAATTAAAGGTCCTCATAAGATGAATCGCTCTAGATATTTGTTCAATTCCCAATTTTCCTACTTAATATCCATGGATTCCAATAAGATAAGACTATTTAATCATTTGGCTATGTGTACATGAAAGACATACCCAATTTGCAGTAGGTCCGTCAGTGTAGTCGACAGGCGCGCATAATAGATTATATTCACCAGACAAGACAAAAACTGTTCCCTGTAAAACATAAAATATATAAGATGTTACCAAAAAATGTACTAAATAATGAATATATTTAGATGCGTAGAAAAATATACTAAGTGTATGGATACATTATAATTAATTAAGTAACAAATCAAATATCACGCCTTTCTTCTGTGTGGTTATAGGATTGCACCGGGCAAGCTTTCCTATTCGCGCATCAAATATTGTTGCTGGCGTTTCAAACTGTTAATTCAAAATATTATGGAATGTCGCTCAATGGCCGATCAATACTAATAAAAGAAATAATACTTACACAGTAAACTAAGTAAAAACTCATGAGAACTTGACAGGTATTGTAAATTATTAAGGTTTTCTTTAAATGGAATGGTTTCCTGTCCCTCATCCACAAGGGGCCGAGCCACGTGCAGAAGTAGTAATAGGAGGCGAGGATAGCTACCAGACTGCCAGGATTTGAGACTAACAACCAAGAACTTGATTGTTTATCTAAAAAAAAGTGCAACAAAAAATTACGTTTTTGATATTAAATTTATACCCATACTAGCTGTCGCTCGCGACTGTTTTCGCGCGGCCTTAATAAAAACTTAATTAGTAGACTGCGTTCTCCCAGACAATGATCTACATCTGTGCCAAATTTCATCAAGATTGGAGCAGTTCCGGTGATACCTTATAACAAAAAACCATCCATCTAAACTTTCGCATATATAATATTAGTGAGAAGTAAAATTTGAAATGATATCTCATGAAACCTGCTCAATCACATAGATTTCTTACTTTCCTGACATACGTGTAAAGATCAATTCGCAAGAAACAAATAATAAACCTTGAAAAACGTGTAAGTCACTTTTTACTCAAGACAACGTAAATCGCCAACACTTAAATTTTTTTGAATGATTGTCTTAATTTTTCAAATCAAAAATAATAATAAAATAACTTACAGACACTTTCGTTGATAATAAAATTATATTTTTGACGCATGTGTTCAGCTACCATCTCCATACTTGATTACTTCTTACTTAAAAAAAAAACCTCAATTTTGTATTATACCCTAGATTTAATTCCTGTCTCCAAGATGTGGTTATTGATAAATTACTGAACATGTTTAAATATCCTAAGCTAAAGTCTTTGGTGGCATATGCCTCATCTATGTCTTCTCATAATAACCATTTGATTCTTTACAAACGTAAATTAAAATACCTTGGACTAATAGCGTTGTTATTTATGATTCTATTTTTCTTATTCGGTATAAATCCTTTTTCAAATATGTTTTAACGTTAAAAAATTAAAAACATAAAACGTAGAATTGGCTTATTTCAGCATATATTTCTGACCGATGTTTCAGAAGATATCAAAAATTTAAATACGCGCGTTCGAATACTACAACAGTGACGAGCAGCTTAGGAAGGCTCTGAGCTCCTCAGTGGGGATACATCCCCATATACATAGTAAACTGATGATGATTAACTTGGAAATATTGATAATATTTCTATTGCTACTTGTCTTAGAACTAAATAGCCTTTGTAAGATTACAGCTCTGTCAAGATAACGAATTATTACTTTGTAAAAGTAATTTAGTTAGTCCTCTTTCCCTTCCCGCTCTTTTTCTTATAAGGAAAGGATGGAAAGTGGAAGTGGACTTTCCGGCTGAGAGGATGCATGGAAAGGGATTTTTTTTTCTCTGCATCCTCTCCTCCGTCGATTAAAGGTATGCAACGCATATGCAATTGCGTATGTCTATGGGCAACGGTCACTTCGCTATTTCAGCGATTTCAGGTGGCCGCTCGCTCGTTTACCACCTTTTGATATAAAAAAAAAATTAATCAGTTTTCACTGAACTAAAATTATTTCAGAGTATATCTAATTATAGTCAGTATGATAAGTTAAAATCATAATGTTGTTACAAAGACATTAATTAAAATATAGAAGAGACAATGTAAATTTTTTCATTGATCCCTTCTCTGTACTTGGTTCTATCTCAGTAGTCAAGTTGACCACGTCCTCTCCTGTCCATGCATTGTCATGTAATTGTAATAAGTGCCCCCTTCAACAGAACCATGCAGCCGTTCTGGATATACCTTCTAACCAACATCCATCCATGGATTCATCCAAACATTTGCATTTATAATATTAGTAAGATAATTATAGCAAAAAATTAAACTCTTACTTGAACAAATGTGGATCCTTATAAAGTAATGTAAGCTTAAATGTTTTAAATATCTATATTACTTAAAATTATTTAGCCTTAATTTTATTTAGCCTTAACAAGACAAATGACATTTGGAAGTCAATTGATGACTTTTATATCAAAGAGTATTTATATAATGTCTGACTGATTTATTTTGAAACGACAGGAATATTAAAAAGTATATACTTATAGCCTGGCCAGAAAAACATGGGTTCTAAAGAATTCTTTATGTTAAACCAACAGTCTTCTTAATGGGCACGGTTGGCGGCTCACCAGGAAGGCAGCTTAGCTGCGCTGATGCAGAAGTAAACGAGAATGTTTAAGGATTTCATCGCATTTAATTAAAATTCAATATTACATGAAAATGTCATGTTCATTTCACAATATATCTGTTTATTCTCATGTTCAGTATTTTTATATGACAGTTTTATATATTTTTGTTTTATTTTTAACCAAATTATTAAACAATAATCATACAATTTCAAAGAAGTTAGTTTTCAATCAATTAAAGTCAAAATAATGTTAAACATTTGTTGCCTATTTAACAGGTCACCCCTAATTTAGGGTAGACTCCGAACCCCTCAGCAGGGACATATATGTAGTAAGTTGATGATGAATATGTAACTGGTAGAGTCGGCAGCTATCAATTTAAAATGTTAAATACATCGACTAGATTATATCTAATTTAATAAATATTATTAGCGCTACAAATACACAAAAACTATAATAATATTCGAGAGAAATTATTTTTATACCGCACAGTCTAAATACAGTGTCATTGTATCTTTTCTCAATTAAGAATTATGAATCTTTTTTATCAGATAATTCTCCGTTAGCTGTAGGCGATGGGGCTTCAGGGCTTGATAGAGATGTTTTATTGACTTTAATATAGTTATAATAATAGAAGCTACTGAACATCCACGTGAAGGTGATGGTCCCTGCGAGGGTAAGCATTTTAAGGACGACTGGAAAACCACAGTCATAGAACAGACTGACTGCAGCTTGTATACTTATAAGTCCGAATTGCACCTAAAATAAAAATAAAGGATTAACTTATTAGACATAAAAATTATGGTATAGTCCACAGTAAAATCTGCACGAAAGGTCTGCTCGCCCGATGCAATGATACCAAGACCACACAGAAGACAGGCATAAAGTGTAAGTTACTCCGCATTTCGTAGGTGTGTTGTTCTAGAGCTCAAATTCTAGTTCTTTTTTTAACACCCCTTTTTTATTTCATAAGGTGGCAAACAAGCGAGCGGCCACCTGAAATCGCTGAAATAGCGAAGTGACCGTTGCCCATAGACATACGCAATTGCATATCCGTTGCCTACCTTTAATAGACGGAGGAGAGGATGCACAGAAAGAAAATATTTTCCCTTTCCATGCATACTCTCATCCGGAAAGTCCATTTCCACTTCCCATCCTTTCCTTATAATAAAAAGGGTTGGAAGGGAAAGAGGACTAAATTAGGCCTCAGGAACGCACACTCATCAGACGAAACGCGGAATTGCTTCCACTTGACGCCTGTCTTCTGTGTGGTCGTGGTATTTCACCGGGCGAGCCGGGACAATTCGTGCGAAGATGTTAAAGCGGGCTCTACCCTTTTCCAACAAGAAATGATCTGTTTACAAGTACATCGCCCCTTATTGCAATAAAAACAGTGATAACTTTTAAACCTTATTGAAGTTTAATGTCTTATTTTTTTAAATAGATATATTGATCTTGGACGATAATAAAATGTTACTTACAATTTGCATAACAGTTAGGTATCTCTTCCACCATAAATATTTTCTAAATCTCGGCCCGAAACTGGCCAGAAAGTAATATGTATACATAAATACATGTATCAATGAATTTATCCATCCAATGTATGCGGCCTGACCTCCTGCGGACGGAAAAAAAAACATCATTAGAAATGTCGGAGAGTTAAAAAATGTATAAAAGATATATTTCAAGTCTAAATCAAAGAGATCGTCAAAAAAAGAAGTTTTTAAAACAATAAAAGTGATGAGGATCATGATCTAATTCAATTGCTTATTATTGGGTATTAGCTCCCCTTTGTTGCCCTGTTCTATTCTGGAGCAAAGTTCTTACTGTAAATTGTAATAATTAAGTGCAAAAATATATAATGAAAAAATACCTGGAAAATATTTAATAGCTATCCAACCAGCAAGAGCCATTGCGGAGTGGTGGTACAGGTGTAAAAATGAAATTTGCCTGTCGGACTTTTTTAATACGAAGAACACAGTGTCGAGGAGTTCCGTCAACTTCGCCATATAGTACACCCAAACTGCTGCCACTAACTAAAATAAAGTTAAACACCAATATTGATTTAATTAATATTATTATTTAAACACACGCTGTCGCCCGCGACTCCGTCCGCGCGGTATCAAAAAATCTCAATTAGTAGCCTTTGTGCTATTCCAGACTATGTTCTGCATCTATACCAAACTTCAGCGAAATACATACAGCTGTTCTAGGGATAATTTCTTACATACATTCATCCATCGCTTTTATAATATTAGTAAGACAATTTTAATTGAAACGGCTAGGTAGGTAACTGATCTATCGGCCGTGTGTTTGAATCACGCCGTTTGAACATTGCCTGCACTGCCGTGAACTATTTGTTTCTTTTTTACTTTTAATATGTAAAAAAAATGTACCCGGACAGTATTTGGATCTGTGGAATTGCTGACTGCTTGACAATAAAAACTAAAATTATTTTTCACTATCAAAATTGTTCCCTGAAAAAGAAAACAAAGTTATAAAATTTGTTGAAAATTCGGATTACTTTGTTCCATATTTACTATAATTTGATTATATATTACCTCGTAAAATATATACATGCTTAAGCATATTTGAAATAAATTATAAAGTTTGATAACATTTTTTAATTGAAAAGGCTCTCTGTTTTTCATTAACGATGGCCCCAGCACTAAACAGAAATAGTTGTAAAAGCCAATAATAGCCCAGAAAGTTATTGGTCCGCTCACTAGGAACCAATTCTTCGAACGAGGATCTGAAAAAAATAAACTAAAGTATTGAAGTAATTTCAAAGCATTCCTCATTTAATATCTCTTTAACAATTTTTCCATTTGCCAATTCATTTTAACTTTTAAATAACCAGGAACGAAAGTTATTATTTTTTTGAATTTCACTATGGAATCGCTTCGAATGGAATGCAATTTGTGTAGCCCCGTCGTTATCAATTGTAAAAAGTCAAAACCATTTAAACCTATGACACGCCGGGTAAAATAAACTCGTCAAAATATTTTGACCGTCTTGCCCGCGACTCCATCCTCGCGGAATTAAAAAAAACTTAATTAGTAGCCTACATATTTTTTCACAGTATGCCAGGTAATTCTGTGGAAAATTTCAGCGATATTCATGGAGCTGTTCTGGAGATACCTTCAAACGAACCATCCATCCATCTAAGCATTCGCATTTATAATATTAGTAAGATAATTACATAATGTATGTATTTAATACATATTTGGGTAAAATTTATGTTTAAATATACTTACCGATAGCATCTTCGAATAAATATCCATAGCCGTTCCACAATCCTTTTAATATTACAGACATTTTATTTAAAGAGGTCACACAATCACTCTGTCATGAACTAGCAACTTCAAGCACACTACAAACTCATATGATCGCGTTACTCCATATTAATGCTTCCTCTTCGAAACTCGATCGTTGATTACAGTACTGTTATAAAAAGGCTTATTTATATACAACTCTTGATCATTATTATTGAATTTAAATAAGTAAATGACCCGCTACTGAGCATTGCAGGAGTCAAAAGTTCAAGTTACTCAGTTTCAATGGAACGCGACATGTACGCGCCATATATCAGCAATACAGCAAATCATAGACTGGATTACCGGTAATAAAATAATACAAAACTTTTGATCAGCTTTAGAATAAAATTGAGACGGGGTAAAATATACGTATACCATTTGACAATCATCAAATGAAATTTTTTAAGACGGACTTTAAGCGGGTTGGATTGCCGAATCACTAGTGACACAATTTGCTTTCTCTCTGTTTTTCCAAAGTAAATGTAAGGGATGGCATGTATATAAAAGTTTCATTATAGTCTAAATCTACTGTAAAATGGAATCAGTCAAGTCAGGGTACTAAGGAAGAGAGTTGACGAGGAGTAATCATATCAGGGAAACGAGGTCACGAAATTCAGTGACTTTATTTTTTTTTTCCGCTCAGCTTGTGTCCAATGACTTGATTTGTGTGATAAAAAGTTTCAGGAATTATTAAGATATTTAATTTTTTTAAATGATAGTAGAGGGTGCTTTCGCCCCGGTATACTAAAACTACTAGTACTACTTGTGCGGTCATTATAAGATTTAAATCAATAATAACTTAACATAACCTATATGTAAATGTATAAATTAAAAGCATGTATACGGTCTATAAGAAAAAAATAATTTAAAAATAAATTCAAGGATTGTTCATTTTAAAAATGTGTTACGCTATTCGAAGTATTGTAAAAATAACTGCATTTTATTGATGTACGAAAAACGTCTTTTCAACACGCGACCAAGTTTCAAAGTACTGTTGATAATATTCTATGTTAATTTAATCAGTACATTGATAGGAAGTAGTATTGAATTCTTGACCTTTGATTCTATTCAAACAATCGACTTGATATATGTAAATCATTGGTATATATAGCTAGCCAAATAGGCCTTATTCGTTTATTCCACGTAATAATAAATTCTACTAAATCTGGCAAACAAGCAATCGGCCACTTGCATTCGCTGAATGCGTAGCAACCGCTGCGCATGGACATCTACAATTGCAAATCCGTTGACTACATTTAATCAACGGAGGAGTGGGCGCATAGAAAGAGGATTCCCCTACCTTTGCGTTCCCTCCTCAGCCAAATCCACTTCCCTTTCTCATTATTCTCACTAAATGAGTGGGATGGGTAAGGTGACGACCATTAGAACTCCGGTGTGCACAATCTTGAAACGAAACGGGGAATTGCTTGCACTTAACACCTATTTTCTGTAAGGTTGTGGTATGCACCCGCTCAAGCCGGCTCGGCTCTTTCATGCATCCAAAAATATTGTAGCATGCTCATTATAACTCCGACCTGTACCAAATTTCTTGTATTTGTTCAACAAAATATAATTTAAATACTACTTAAAATTCTATTGTTGAAACATAAATATGTATTGGTTGATCGTGTTTCGTGTTCGTTATCGATATCGTAGCAATGACTATGTTATTTTAAACTTTCTTTTAATAACAATAATTGAAAGACAATCCGACCGGCGTATTTTGTAGTAAATCTACAATAGTACGTTGTTTTTGTGGCAACCTTAGCTTTGAGCTAAGAAGCTATCCTTCACAGATCTCTTCTCCACAGTGGGTGTGAAGAAGAGATCTAAGGAAGATAGAATACTCTCTATTTGGTGAATTTGTTCTAGTTAGCAGCTAAAATTATAGCGATGTTCGTAGATATGTATGTGAAGATTTAATTAGTTATGCTTATTGAAAAATTTTAAATTCAAATTGCAATTGTTTTTAACAGAAAATGGTTGCTATTTTATTTTGAAAGGTAACATGTTCCGAAACTATTAAGATAATTATTTACAAACTACGCTTACAAGATAACCATTGGATCAGTTTGACATTGCAGCTGGGTAAATCCGTCGCATTTTGTAAATTACATACAAATGACGGTTGCGAACTTTAATGTCTAAAAAACATTAGGACGTTGAACTTACAAACAAGTTCATAGCTCACCTAATGACTTCACTTGAAAGAGATAAATAAAAACAACTTAACTAATGATTGATATTACAACTCTAACTTACTCTCTGTTAAGTTGTTGCGGATGCTTATAAATAATCTCAGCACTGGAGAGAATGCTAATACGGTGATGCCATCATTTCTACCGCCCTTGGCACTTTTCAGGTCTTGCTTATCTTTGCATCCGCTTTTATTTGAAATTATGATTATGTTTCAATTATTATGTGTTAGCAATAATCTAAAATCAGAATTTATTTCCCACTTTAGAAATGAACAAATTTAATTTACTGAAATAACCAAGTATGATCACCTTGTTTTCTAAACGATTTTTAAAAATTTTGATCCGTAAAACACAGCACGATATAGTAATTGTAAAGATACTCCGTCATCTAATATTTAAAATAAAACATAGAACACTCAACTTCATAGCTGTCTTCAGTGAGATAGTGGCAATTAACTCGATGAATCGACAGATTTGGCAAAAGATGTCTGCTGCCTTTACCACTGTAAAATATATTGGTCTTACATTGTTGTCCTTTTGCGTAAAAGCTAAATTATTGTTTATGGTATTAAGAAATACATCAATATATATTTATTGACTTGACTATAATTTTTTTCTAAATCCATGTTGTAACGAAATAATAGCTCGTTTATCGTCTCTTTGTAACTTGGATATTTCATAAATTGAAAACTAATAAAACGTTTATATTCATGTAAAAATGTAAGCTCGATGCAATGTTGTGCAGTTAAAATTGATTTATGTATTTAATTTTTTTCAAGCCAGTTTCATAAGATCGTTGACCTCAGCGCATTTGAAATGTATCGTTCTTTGTTTTGACCTCTCATTCCAACTTAAGTGCTGTTTAAATTTTAGTGTGCTGTTAATTTTATATTTTATTGCAAAATGTAAGCAAATACTATATTTTAACTAAATAAAATTTTAAACAATTTCAGACATAGACGTTCGCCTTAGCTGAAATGACGTAAATCTGTCGATTGCGGGATCTTAAACTGATATGCTTGCTTTTGTGAATCGTCATCGTCAGGTTGACGTTAGTGTCTCAGTAAGATCGGTTATTATAGAGTGCGGAGGCTGCGCGTGCGCACTCCTCGAGCAGAGCATACAGCGCGCAGACAGCATACGCAGCCGCGATTCCTCGTATGACAGAGACGCGCAACTTGTGATCCGAGTGTTACATTTCATTGTGTATTTATTTTACACAAACAATTATATTTTGTGCTGTTTTGTGTACTTGTGTTGAAGATGAACGGTAAGTTACGATTCTTAATAACATTTTTTCTTTAATTAAAAAGAAATGATTATTGAAATTAATTATTATTTCAAATCAAATCAATTGATAAGATATTAACTTCAAGTTGTAAAATATGTATTATAATAGTCATTACTATTGCGCCTAAATTAAAAATCCTCTTGAAAAATCCCAGCTTTATGAAAAAAAAAGTTTTCATACAGTGTTAAATATTTAATGTTATCAAAGGCTTGCTGGCTCAGCGTGCGCCACATAAATATACGAAGCTTCACAGGGATCGTCAATTGACAATGCAACCAAAATAAAAAAAAATATAATTTAAACTAGACTAAAGAGAAATGGACTAGATAATGGGCCGCCTTGCCTCCGGCGTCGCATCGTACTGTATTATGCCACTTTTCGCGGGTGGTGAGGTAAAGATAACAATGAGACATGCACCATCTTACTAACACTGAAGTAAAATTGAAACATATAAACGAAACGTTCTTTATAAACGAATACTGAATTAATAATTTACACACCCTCACGGAACGGGTATACAGGCAAGTTTTAAACTTATCGTTCGTTTTTATTTAACAGGGGGGAATGCACGCGCTTGACTTAACAGAGAACAAGTATTACAAAAAAAATGAAAAAAATATAAAATAAAGCCACGCGTAACAAAAAACTTAAACTTAATTATCTAATTATCACTTCTAATTTAATTAAAAATAAGATTTAATTATTAAAGAAAACCTGTTATTTTTATACAACTTATGTCTACCGTGTCGCCTAAAGGCAACAAAACACAGGCCGGAAAGTTAACTTCCTTATCTCTATATGGAAATTACTCGATTGATTTAGAAAAAAAAACAGACAATTAAGACACAGAGATCGATTGACTAGAAGCAAGTGTAGTCTAGTCGTGTAGGGATATTCCACAATGCGTCATGTAAATGTGCAAATTATTACTTATGCATTATACAATGCATGGATCAATTTCTAGTCGACATCATTGTTACGATAAACTGTTGTCTTGTTTACGTTTGTAGTGGGACAAACTTTGAATATATCACTGTAAGTTCAGTCAGCATCAATACAAGGATATTGTGACACTTTTTTGACATTGAAAGGTAATTAGCTATTGTAATTTAGTTTGACTTATGATCACTGGGTCGCACGCATTCTACGAAGTAACAAATTGCAACATAAATAGTCATAGAAAACAGCAATGAAAAAAGATTTTGTGTTTAAACTTTAAATAATTTAGAGTTGAAAATCATAAACTCGAATCATTGATTGCGTTCCCAAAAACTGGTTTGATATATCTTGTATGGAAAGATGTACAAAAATTATTATCTTATAAACAATATATTTAATGTTTTACATATAAGTATTGCGAACGTTAAAAATTAAAATCGTGTTAAACTGCAAATAAGTAAAAATGCTTAGAAATTGATTGACTTTGGCGGTTAATTGCAACGTTACTTAAATAAGTACTAGTAAGTGTTAAATATCGTCATAAAAAGATGTAATGAATCGAACCTGAGACGTTTGCGTAAGTGACACATACCCGCGTATACAATACTATGTTGCAAGTCGCGCCCTTGACGCGGAGCTGATTTCCAGTTCTCTAGAGAATAGCTGCCGGTCTACTTCAATATCTCTTTTGTTTTTTTTTAATAACATACTGAAATATTCAATTGTAAACACTCGATGTATTCACGCTGTTATAAATATAAACAGAATAAAACAAGAAATTAAAGTTCGTTATTATTTGTGTCGGCTTCGCTAAAAAAAAAATGAATGCTTATAAGTTCTTTAAAATTCTGAGTAGTTTAATATAATGTTTTATCATGACTGACTGACTGTTAGTTTAAATACACAAAATATATGAAATATTGGCACACTAGATGAAGGCAGACGTCTTGTACTCTACTTTTTCAGACAGGTTAATAACGATTTAAGTATGAGGTTATAGTTAACCTAATCTAGTACGTCATCAGCGCAAATCACTTTATCTACTGTATCAAACTATGAGGGGAGCCCGGAGTTCCATAGCACAGGGAAAAAAAGTTTGGACTTTGTGAGATTTGGAAGGAAAATAAATAAATAATTAAAAAATGGGTCTTACATTAGACTGACTAGTCATTCACCTTTTATACCATTAATTGTTTACTGTTATCGTATAATTGACAAAGGCACAACATTCATTTTATCTTATATTTACGTCCGTTCTGGTTATTGCTGCGTAAATGCGGAAGGGGAAAACCAAAAGGACTCAAATAAATTTGCAATTAAAGTATATACGTTTAAAACAAGTTAATTTTATATTTCACGAGTTTAAATTACAAAAAGTTTTTTATAAATACTAGTATTATTACGTAATTAAATATCAAGGCTGCTTTGTTATACTTGAAATATTGTTCCCAAGGATTTCCTTAAAGGCATGCGTTGTGTCTACACGAGGATTAAGATATTGCGGTAATTAATATCATACCCATGGCCCAACATCAAAGGGAAGGATGGTAACTATCGAGTTGTATGGATTTTAGTTAGTAATCAAGTTCAATAACATTGTTGACAAAATGTTTTCAAGTACTAAAAACTTATTTGCACAAAATCTTAACATAATTTGTTTTGATTCAAGTTAATATGTAAACATAAATGTTATTGAAAATATTTTTATCTGTTGTTGTAAATAATAAAAAATAAAGCAAAAAGCATCAAAGGTTAAGTATTTGTTGCATCAAAGGATTGCTACAAATATAAGATTTAAACATCCTTTTATATTAAACAGAATAACTGTTGTCCAAAGCATATTAATGTTAATAGTTCATTTAAACACATAAGAGTTATGTGAAACTAATCGTGTCCATTGGAAAAATACATGTTCAACAACATATTGCTATATCTTTTTTTTTAAACAAAGGCGAGAGAAAACAAAATGGTAACACGCGGTTAGTTTATATAATTGGGCAACTATTTTCAACTTCAATCATCATGTTTTTTTACATTTTACGAATGTTTTCGTTAGAAAGATGAGTCCATAATTAAAATTAATCTGATTGTTAGTCTGAGAAATCAAATGATATGATTTCATTTAATAGCTCATGATAAAGATCAAATGACGTTGTACTTATGCCGTAATTCCCCTTCTATTGTATTTCTTTAACAGTTTTATGAAGTCAATCGAAAATCCCATCTTTTGTAGTTGTACGTTGGTTATTTAGGTTTCTTAAGAGTTTTTTTTTTGTTTTGTAAATTCAAGCGTCCTGGTTAAGATGCAACATGTAAACAAAATCATTTATTTATTCTTTTAAATTTATATTAAAAGGTAGCAAAACTATTATACGTTTTTTTTTAAAATAAAGTTTTTGTTTACTTAGGTACATACGGATTAAGTAAAATAAAGCACTACTTTGTACAATAAAATAAAATATGATCTATACAACCACTTAACCAATACAAAAACTTTAAAGAGAAAAGTTTTTATTTTTGACCAAAACCTAAATTATTGAAACAAATGAAAAAATTACCAAGATAAATAAATTATAACATACTAGTAATAACGTCATATTAGTAATAGTTCTCGAGTATTTATTCTAGATGAGCATGTTTATTTGCTGACACCTCAGTACATAACGATCACATAACTACGAGTAAATACATGGCCAGAGAACACTTTATATACAAATGTTAGGTAAACAGACATGGTAATGTTCAACTTGATCCTTGACAGTGAAATATTAATACAAAGTGTTTTAACTATTAACATTACTCGTTTCATTAATTCCTATATTATCTTACGAGCTGTCGACCGCGACTCCGTCCGCGCAGAATTTAAAAAAAAAACATAATAAGTAGTCTATGTATTCTTCCGGACTATATTCTACATATGTGGCAAATTTCTTTAAAATCCACTCAGCCCTCCCAGAGATTCCTTCAAACAAACCTTCATCAATTCATCCATCCATCCAAACATTCGCATTTATAATATTAATAAGATTAAGAGCGTTTATTTTTTTGTTCGTCAATCTTTATATAAAATTCTCGTGTCACAATTTTAGTTCGCATACTCCTCCGAAACGGCTTGACCGATTCTCATGAAATTTTGTGAGCATATTGAGTAGGTCTGATAATCGGCCAACATCTATTTTTAATCCCGCGCGGACTGCGTCGCGGGCGACAGCTAGTATGTTTGTAAATATGTAAGGGTGTTGACGTTTAAGTGTGTTCTGACCAAATGTAACTTAAACGGCTTGCTTAATGAGTTATTTCAATTGTAACCTTGTCTGCAGTGTTATAAAGTCAGTAGAGATTCTTGTTTTTATATTAATTACTAGTTAGTTAATAAATAACATAACTATAAAGGTCAAAATACGCGAACAGGTGACATTAAAGTTGTTTGTAAATGTAATGTAATGGCTCGATCACAATGGACAGGTTTCCGATGTCGTGACATTTTTCTTACGCAACTAATTACGTCTTGCAGAAGTCATTCCTTAAAAACGAGAATTTATTTGGTACAACAACTTTTAACTCTACCAAGATTTCATTCTGAGTAGGTCGAGGTGGGGCGGTCGCCTAAGGCGCCGGGCATAAGGGGGCGCCAATGTCCAGGCGCCCGTAAGATACCGTATCTTTAGAAGATTTCCCCACGACACAAAGAAAAAAAGGCGCCGAAAAAAATTTGCCCGGCACACCGGAAACACTAAAACCGGCCCTGTTCTAAGTTTGATATTAAAATTCTACAAAATGAAAAGTTTTGGACCTTGTTAAAATGAATGACTTTAGTTTAATGGTCAATGCGAAATCTTAGCTATTAAGCATATGCTTACGTCCAATTTAAATTGCAACAATGGGCTATAGCCAGAAGGTCAATGACTCTGTCGCAAGCTGTATATAAAATAACTACTAACGAATACCTTTGTTTTACTTTAGCAATCTCATTAATAAAAACACCCAAAGCGAGGTTGTATTAACCTGACACATTAGTTTCTGTCGCAATTCCGTCGATT